CCAAAAGATATCGATCTTTCTCTTAAAAAAAAAAAAACAAACAAACCCGGAAGTAACTATCAAGATTTCAAGTTCTGATTCCCTCTCTTTAAGTTTACCACAAAAAAAACTTGTATAAATCAATTTTCCAGAACAACTAATCAATTTATCTGGCTAATATACACAATTCTTAATTATTTTTATTTCCTTTTTTTTACTTCACATTTATAATAAATTAATTCCTTGTTGAAATCTTTCTCTATACTCATCATTTTGTGTGCAGCATATAAAAATAAAAATGACAAAATGTCTAATGATTTAATAATAAGTTTTAATGTACAAAGATTATATTGATGAACATGATCATTATAGTAATGTAAGCCATAATAATAATAATAATAATAATAATAATAATAATAATAATAATAACTATAGTGATAAACATGTATGTAATTCACTTTAAGTAACTTAATCTAATAATAGTTAACCATCTATTTTTTTTAATGTTAAACCTTGATGTATGTTTATGTGTACACTTATATAGATTGTTCTCCTAGTGAATTACAATGATTTTCGTCATACCTACACGTATTCATAACTATTATCAATGAATATTTATTCATCCAGTACAAAGTTCATATCGGTTTGTTTGTTTGTTGTTGTGTTTTTTTGAATAGTATCTAATAATTGTTTTAATGAATGATCTTTTTTTGTTTTTTTTTCAAAAAAACCAGACTTTTTTATGAAAAGTGAACTAGATAACTTTCAAATCTTATAGAATGAGTCTTGAAAAGAGTAAGAACAAAAATTCTGCTAGAAGGGAACGATATGTATGAAATTTCTCAAAGAAAGCATCTTGCATGAGTTCCATAATTTTCTAAATATTAACTGTTATATTCCCTTGGTGTTGTTTTATTTGTATCTTCCCATTGTTATTTAGAACAGCAATTGATATATATCTGTGATCAACTAATTCTTAAAAACAGATCAAACTAAGATTTATATAATGTAATGATAATCACAATTGATTGATAACTGGGTGGTGATCGATTTCCTGTGTGTCAAGTCCTTATTTAGTGCAGATCGAATGCTATCGACCATGTTGCAATGTGGCCACAAGTCTAGGTGACTTGACATTGCGGGCACGGGTAGCTCAGTGGTAACGTCCCTGACTGTGAAGCTGGGTGACATGGAATCGAATCCTCCAGGGAGCACAAGTTCCCTCAAGATTACAGGTACACCTTGCTGACGAGTGCCAAGTAGCACGAAACCCGGGTCCAGGGTTTCCTGTTGACTACCTCCAACCAACGTCTAATGTAATGGTAAAGATAAAAACCAACTAGATGGGAAACTTATTGACTTTTCAATAACACAATAACTATAATTTACTAAATACATTAATTTACATAAACAAATGATCGCCATTTGTTACATAGAATATATAATTGAATAACATCATATTTTCTTTACAATATTACAAAACACCATCCCCACCACACTCAAATGCCCTGGTACGGCCGAGAGTGGGGAACATCCGCTCTCCATCTCGAAATGCGCTCACATGACCACGCGTATATAGCCTCTGCCAGGGAAGTCATACTTACTGCCTTCTCGCGTCACGAGTGTTGTTTACGAAATTAAGAGGACGAAAAAGCGAATGTCCGGCACTTTAACTGGGTTGGTGGACATGAAGAGTCCATCTAGGGGAGTTGGAAAACCCTGACTCCAAACCAATGGTGCACATGGGCTCCAGTATTCTGAAGGAACAAATGGCGTATGAATTAATCATTGGTCACCGGCCACCATGGGACTGCGTCTCCTTACGTTGCTCCACTGCCTTGTGGATCCGACCTTCAGGTCGAAGGCTCGTGGAGTGGCCTCCTAAGAAAACCACATGCTTCGGTTTGGGCACCCGGGCAGTATGACAGCCCTCACACATATCGAATGAGATCTGTGTGGCGCAAATGCATTTGGTGCCTCCTTGTACCAATATCTATGTGTTCAAATAAAAAACCCATAAAAACACTCAAATGGTAATAGTTTAATTGAAAACGTACCAACAGAAAATGATTATTTGAATCTTGGACATAGCAACAAGCGGAAATTTCAAACTGCACACTTTAACTAACAATTATTGGTTGGACGATGTAACACGGATGTTTTTTTATAAACTTAGAATAAAAACTAAACTAAATGCTAAAGTTTAATCAAGATCATTCTTTGTCTACTTTTTTTGTTTATTATTAATGATTAAAATTTCTTGATTATAAAATTCAATATGGCTTCGGATTTGATAAGCTGATCATCTGTCTGGTTGAATAGATGAAGAGTTGTGGGTAATCTACAGTTTGTATCGCATTCAGTACTGTTTATCCTTATTTTTTTCAATGGATAATACAGATTTTAGTCTGAAAACTATACTTACATTTTTCTTATCAAAAGTAATGATGACTGTTAATGTCTCAAAGTATAAGTTGAAAGACAACATTCAAAAAAATAATCTCAGATTGTCATTAGAATTTTGATAGAATATATATATATATATATATAATAGATTCTTAAACAAAAATATCGTAGAGTTCCACTTGGTAGCCTGCTTGAACATCTGGGCTACTTGTTCATGACATCTAGATATTTCAACAAGTTATCTATTTTTCAGTGGTTAATATCATGACTCAGTTGAAGCTAGACCACCATGAAAAACCTGGGAGCATTGGACGGCCGATTCGTCCTATTGTGGGGCTCCTCAGTAGTACGCATCCACGACCTCGCCCCCCTGAGAGATTCGAACTCAGGACCTGCTGGTTTCGCGCGCGAGCATGTATTGGCTGTGCTTCATTGACCAATCACCCTCGTAACCGTTATCATATAATCCTCAACGGTGTTTGAAATCAGAAGGCAAAGAGAAGCAGCGACTACAGTTTTATTAGCAGGTAACTCAGACCATAAAGCAGAGGCAAATAAATGAGTCAGCGAACCGAGAGTGTAGAGTGTGTAGAGTGTAAATGTGCATGTATATATATGAGGAAATGAATGGATCATCGAATCAATTAAATAGCTAATAATAAAGCTAGCAGACTGAATATATGCGTAGGCGGTAAGTAATGTTCAAGCATACATATTTCATTCAAGCACAACAATAATAAAGGTACAATAAGTTGTTATAGTACGGATGACTCTGTCCGGTAAATAAGTTAACAAAAGGGCTTAACCGAATTAAACGAGAACAAACTCAATTGCACGTGAGTTGCTATAATCACTTAACCCCTAAACCACTGAGCTGATCGGTATCCAACGTGGTTAATGTCTAACTTCAACTAATCCACGAAATTGAGCGACAAATCCACCATTGTTATCAGTGAGTTACTATCCTACAACAGACCTAGTTGAACTCCGCTAGTCACTACTTCTCACTAGAACTCCAGGATATACCTCTTGAAGCCAGTCACTAGTGAGCATATGTTGATTAATATCAGATGGGTCGCACAATCTCGTCGATTGGTTGGGGTTAGACATTAACACCATTGGATGCCGACTCAGTGGTCTACTAGGTTAGGCGCTCGCGCGCGTGACTAAAGACTCTGCGTTCGAATCCCACGAGAAAGATCATGGATGCACACTACTGAGGAATCCCACAATGGGACGAAACGGACGTCCAGTGCTTCCAGGTTTTCAATGGTGGTCTAACATCAATCGGTTCATGATCTCATTCAAGAAAAAATTATTTGGAAAAAATATAATATGAGATAACAGCATAGAATTAGAAAGTTAGAAGAAAGTGAATCAAAGTGTAGTGTAAAAAAAATAGACAATAAGATTTTTAACATGAAAATACATCATATAATCTGTAAGTAATTCATGTCAAGAGTTTATATCAATTAGAGAGTCAATGGTAATCAAATAGCTCTGGATAGTTGATTTTTCTTTATAGTTTGAGATTTTCTAACAGAGAAGACCCGTTTTCATCTATGAAATTGAATTAAGAATCTATAGATGTAATAGTTTGATTTAAGGTAGTTGAAGGTAGTTAACAGAAATTTCTACACCTATGTTTTATTCTCACTGGTACTTGTTAGTTAGCTGTACCTATAATCTTAAGGAAATTGATGTCTTTTTAAATTAGAAATTGCGTCATCTACCAGCATAGTTTGAAATGTTTTCAACGAACAATTTGGGCAGTGACTGATCTGTAAAACTGATTTATTTTCAACAATTATTCATTCAGTAGTAGCTAATGTCATGTTTGTCTAGTATTTAGTACTAATTCAATTCTATGGCTTTGATGAATACATGATTATATTGATAAAAGCGGTTGTCTGAAGATTTTGCAAGGATTATATATATACATAACAATTCCCGAACTAATTAACTAAGATGTTGTGTTACTAAATTAAGCCTGTTGTATCTAGATGTGTATTTAGTCCAAGAAAACAATAAGTAAATCCACTGAACCTAGAGTCTTTACTGTAACTAAGTGACCAGTCTGTTCATGTTTTGAAAAGTGAACAAGAAAATCAACACGAAACAAGAATGATCAGAGACTTTCGTTATTACATTTCTCACAAAATAATGCAAAAAGCCGCTGCAAGTACTCGATCGCGGACAGACAATCACAACAATAGACATATACTACTTACCAATCAAATTTTAATTAGACAATTTCAGTCTATTAACATATCTGCACCCGACCTAAAACATTGGGATGACCGCTAGTACCATAGTAACGGGAGACAGTTTAAATTCGGGCGTCCAAGGCCAGCATCAAAAAATACACATAAACAATAATACATTTGTGGTGTGCATATGCACTCGGTGTCTAATACATACACAAACATCCTACTTAATTATGACTGTACTATTTGTTACAACGGAAGGGAAACAATATCTTTAAGATATATAAACAATTTAAATCAATATAAAAATACCAAATTTAGCTACAGATACCTTACACTCTAAGTGTACAATATGAATATGTTTATCCACTTTCTTTATTGTGCCTGTTTATGTCTATCCACAATTTTAAATCAGACGGAACTGGTCATGAGAATTAGACTTCTGCTTTTAAAGTTAACTTCAATAAACCATATTGGTTATCAAATGTTCTTACTAGTGCTTTTAGTTCATATATGTGTACTTTTATGCCTATCACCCCTCACCTGTTATTCACCTCCGCCACAATTTTCACTACCACCAACCTAGCGAGTAGAACTCAACAAAACATAGCACGACACAAAAGAAATTAACATTTATCACATTAATGAAAATACAAATAAATGATATAGTGGTGTAAAATACCGATCTCGTGATAACATATCTCTCTCTTGCATAGTTGTATGTTACTACTTTCATACAACTTCACAATAGATAAACGCACATATATACACATGTAATACAAGGAATTGTATTTCAGCTATTTCGTTGATAACAATTAACAGTAATATACTCATTTCATAATCTTTATTTTCGTCAACAAATAAAAATAAAGTGAATATCGTGAGGACAAAACAAAAACAAAACACACTGAACAGTGACTAAAGCCAACTGGAATATTTTTTTTTCGCCAAAAAAACGAAATACGCATCGGAAAAACAATTATTTATCTTTCTTGAATTGAAAGAGAACTAAAAGAAATTAGGCTTTTTAAAAAAATATATACATAGTGCGAGAGAGAAGAGATTTATGTACATAGATTTGTAAAGGAGTAATGATACATTTTAAAAGGAGCTTTCCTTATCTTTTCGTACTTTATTTTCGTTGGTCTCGTTGAATATACCGTGTACAACAACCTTGATAATTTGATTTTAATTATTTTCACGTGAGTTTTATTATAATATTTTTGTTGCTTGTTTCGTATAAACTTGATCGATTGATAAACTCATTTATATTTAAATGAAACGAGTATTATTACCAGTTCCTGGAAATTCTTCTCATGTGCTTGGACGCATTTGATTATGATTTTCATTTGTCATAATATTTGATATTCATTAGTAAAGCGTGTTCACACTGTTGAAGGGATTTCTACTCCATGTAAAACTCAAACACGTAGCACCCAGTGTCTATAAAAGGAGTTGCCACTGAACCACTGGAGCTATTATATTAGTGACTTGACAGAACATTCAATTCGTAGATTAGTATACAAAGCAGTTGCGATTCAAGTTGCTAGGTGAATAGTAGGTAGATGTTGAAGCTTGGTCAACAGATTATGGGCACGATATTTAAGAAAAAACTATTTGAATCCGAAGATGATTCTAGTTCACATTCTGATTTATACGTTTTATTGATATAAACTAAACTTACTTCAATTTAGTATGAAAAGTCAGATACATAGGTCTTTTATTGTGAAATATATTACAATCTCTAAAAATTGTTTAATAAAGAATAATGTAAAACTATAAAATCATTAACATTTTCTACATCCAATCGATTGATATCCTGAATTAGTAGTTGAAGATGCCGAGTGACATGGTTCGAAACCAGTAACAATGACCAAAATTAATTTTCCACTGTTTGTGTTCCTCTGAGTGTTGAGCTTCAGTATTCATCAACACCTATCGTTTTGTTCTTTCTACTTGAACTATATTCTTAATATTTAGTCTTCCTCATTATGATTATTACCACATTATTTGCATTAGTTTACCATTCTTCTTGTTAGTTCCATCTTTTTGCTCTGACATGACACGTTAAATTGATCTAACATGTATTTGTACAAAGTTCTTTGATGATTGTGACATATTACAACCGGCTCTAAACATATAACATCAGATTCGTCTTTCGGTATTCTTTTTTATGATCAAGCTGAATTTAGTAAAGTACGCACACTTATATCTCCAATGCTTTATCGTAAAAAACCAATGAAAAGCTATGTTTATTCTGGTTTGCGGCTACATTAGAATGTTTACTGCAGGTTTGAAGATTTTTTATTTGATCATGAGTGATATCATCGGTGTGAAAAGAATTAGACTAGGATGAAACAACTGCTTCATGCCTTCTGGTTTTCAATAATCCCTCTACTGATATTAGTAGTAGTAGTAGTTTCCAACCAATAAATTAAAATCATATGATAACAGTTGCTAAAATAAATTAACTTACATATCAAGATAATTAGACCAAACTCAATCTCCTTAATGTTGTTGTCAACATGTAAAAAGGGTGTGTTGTGATAAAACATATTGGCATCAAATTTATAAAGAAAATGTTGGTAATTTATACAAAACTATATTCAGTTGGTTTCCTTCACACAGAACATACGTGTCAGGAACCTTGGTAATTCTATTTTGTTTATGACTTATCAATGGTGAACTCGTACAACGAGAAGAATATTATAAAGGAAGGATTTGAATAGAATTATTTCTGTCAATTTAGTTGATCTTACTTATTCTTCTATCCTATTAAATAATTAACTTATGCCTTGTTAATAGTTTTATTTGAAAATTTCCATTAATTAGCCTTGTATTAGATAGTAAGTTTTGTAATTAGAGGCTTGATTACATATGATAGGCAATCATAATTAGTCCATTAAATGAAACTAGAACGGGGAAATTTATTATAGTAATTATACAGTTTTAAAATAAGCACATCAAATGTTTGATCATAATGACTGTTTAGAGGTAATGCAAGAAAATTGTAAAATGTTTGTTTTTGTTTCCCTATTTATTGCATGTTTTATATTCTCAAATATTGTTCAAGTTAATCATCGCATTCAAAGAATATTATCGTTTTTCTACTTTTTATCAAAATGATTACTTCCAACTTTAGAAGTAATTAGCACTAGTAGTTAGTAAAATTCGATAAAAAGAAAATTTAAGAGACTGAGAGGAATCACCGACTTTAACACATGATAGAAGCGAACATTTAGTTGATCACTAAGTACTGACTTACGTTATGTTTATTTAATCTTTAAGCATTGATCGAATTTATATCGATCAAGTCACAATGAGGTCCATCAGTCTGAATGACTCAACATCACATACAGTATGCTATGTTTGCAAGTAGTTCTTGTTGATGAGTAATAAATAACACAATACCTAGATCCAGGGTTTCTAGCCGATTATCTCCAACCACCTAATATTGTGAGATCATGGTCACTAATACTATTGAACTTTATCAAATTAGAATGAAACAGTATATAATACTCCTCTTAACTTCAAACAGATATGTGTAAATTATATATTTTCGTAGTCGTTTACGAAGGGAATTATGTTTATATTGGAGGTATTTATTGAGAATTTCTCCATTATTTTTTATCTATCAACTAACATAATTACAAGTACATTTAATTTATTAGTTCACTAGCCCCCCTCCCTCTCTCTCCCCCTTGTTTTCTATGGGGATTTAATGATCACTTTTACAAATCAACCTAAATCTCTATTCAACTTTATTCAATGTCATTGATATATATATACTTTCTTGTAAAATTTTGTTTCCAAATAAGACAACAATTTAATCTACATATCTTAATTTCTATCTGTCTATTCTCATTTGTATCTTAGTTTTACATCTAAAACAAAAACATGTTTATGAATTGCTTAATTATTAGCATATCATTAATATCACCTTTGATTTATTTATATATATATATAGTTCAAACATCAACATGATATTTTAAGAAATATTAAGGTCATAACATTGAAAACAATTTGGAAAACAAACCCAAGGGTTTTATACCCCTTTTTTTGTTTGTTTGTAAAAAGAAACCCCCAATTTGTTGCATGTTTATTTAGAAAAGTAAACAGATTGGTACCGTTTACCCTAAAAAAAATGTGTAAATATATACATGCATGTATATTCTTTATGATACTATATGTAAATTGTCAAATGATCATATATTTCACTTACTGTTTAATATTAAATATGTTTTACCTAAAATAATAATAATAATACTAATAATAACAATTATTATAAGCAAAGATGGATAGTGGTTAGCAGTGGCATCCAAGACTCGTGTTTCGTCCTATTTGGGACTCGTCAGCTGAATGTACCTGCATCTCATAGTTGATGTTCACTCTGGAATTCGAACTCAGTACTGTTCTCTTCAAACGCCATTGTGTTATCCACTTAACTACTGAGTCCTGATAGCCACTTGCTTGTGCAATGGGGTGAAGTTTAATTCATTTGGTATTGTTTTACTTTATCTCAGTAGGTAAGTGGATAACGGTGCTGGGTCCAAATCTCAGAGTGAACATCAACTATGAGATGCAGGTACATCCAGCTGACGAGTCCCAAATAGGACGAAATACAAGTCTTGAATTTCACTGCTAGCCACTATCCATCATTGCTTATAATGCTTGTAAATTAAGGCAATATCGAGACAATACACACGGTTTGCACATATGCCAATTAAAGACTGATCAATTGCAGTCCTAAACAAGTAAACAATACCAAGTGAATAATAATTATTATTACAGATTTTCTTGACAGATATAAAGATTGAGTAGTTTTATTATCAGCTTAACTGTAAAATCTTGGTATTATTCAAGATGAAACAAATAGAAAGTTATTGATTATAAAGTTCCATTTATCAGGAAAATTCAATTTGCAAATTTTTTTAATATTGATCAAATGTGTTCTGTTTGTTATTTTCTTGGCCATTTACTGAATGAGATCTGGATAATGAAGTATATTATTCATTATGGATATCATTTCAAGTATTAACTTTGATTGTGTTTGGGTTTCATGTCTAACATTCTAGGCTGCTCTATACTGATATGTTCATAGAAGACAGTGGTAAATAACTTTGAATTCTTAAAAAGAAATGTCTAATGAAAATTTCAGTCTAATATAAAACACTTACCTGTAAAATAAGAGGAAAATTAACTGGGAAGGATGGATAAAACACACTGACTGAACATTGAGAACGTCACGTACAATCCCAATCATAAAGTGATATAACTTGAAAAAAACCATAGAAACTATAGTTCTTCTATCCTAGTTTGGAATTTCCAAGAGTTTCATGATTCATTTCCTCAAATAGTTTTGAATCCGAAAGTATCAGGTCTAGCCGTCAGTCACTCAAATGTGACATAAAAACAGGCACATGTGTAGATCAGTTCAAGTTCTCATATCCTATTATCTCAGTGAGTTTAAATTTTCAACATAAATCACAAAGAAGTAAGGGTATTAACATGATAAATGGTTATTGAAAAGATTACGTATGTCAGACACAGTTTAAAAAATAAAAAAATATTTATGAGGAATTTAGAAACTTAGATTTCAAAGGAAGACAAGGAGTGAATGCATCTGCACCATTGTAAATAATTTTTTAGCCATATCATTTAAAGTTTATGCCCAACAGTTATGTTAATCACACGGACAATAAACAGTTAACCTATATCTTTCTACATAGCTCAATCCAACACTTAGTGTCTATATGCGAACACAAAATAATATTAAACTAATGAATCAAAATCCCTTAATATAGATGTATAATTTCAATAAATGATTACTATGTAATATTATCCTCATTTCAAATCTGCGACGAGTAATAGCCTCTGTCTTTATCAATCATCACTTTTCTCATTTAAATATTAGCCACAACTGAGTATACAATTATTGTAAACGTCAGTGTTTCTATGCATAAAATATACATCTATATGATGCATATATTACACTTTACAATGTTATTAAGTAATCGTTTCCTTACATTAATATTCTTGTCATATAGTTTATCAGTTAATGATATTACCTCTCCTGTATTGATTAAACCCAATAATAAGATAACGACATATTTTGTGTAATTATCTTAACAACAACAAATATTATTTTTTAGTCATGAAATTTTGTTCAAGATAACTTAATATGAAACCATAGTAACTTCTA